TTTTCTTTATTCAGTACCAGCTATGCCAGGAAATGTGACTGTTGATGAGGAAACCCCTACTTCCATCAGTATCAGTTGGACTGCAGCCAGCGGTAGTTTTGATTACTATGAAGTGGCTTATGCCGAGGCAGGTGGACCAACTTTGATAGCTGGAAATTTACAGCCAGACAGTAGTATGCTTGAGTTTACATTAGAAGACCTTGATCCAGAGACAGAGTACATGTTTACCGTGTTGACTGTTGTTGGTGAAGGTGATATGCAGGAAAGAAGTGAGCCCTCAACTGTTACTGCAAATACAGGTATTTATTATATTTTGCTGCTATCGTCACTTTCTAACACTCAAAATAAGTTATATTGCAGAAATGTGACAAATAACTGGATACCCCTGTAACCAATAATACAAGAAAAGATTACTCTCGTCTTTTTCATATGTTGAGAATTTGATAACAATTACTGTAATTTGCTCAATTACATGTAGAAGCACATCACCAATAGAAGTGTTTACATGTGTACATTTGTATAAACCAAAATTCTGGAAAACTGAATTTTTATTAAAATATTACTTTTTCTGATCTTAAACACCTCTTCAATTAACATATTAGTGTATGCACTACTAATAAAGCACATGCTGTAGATTTTTGATGAAAATAAGCGCAGTTCGACAATTGGAAAATGACATCGTTTGTCTTTTTAGCCCTGCTGTTGACTTTGTCTAGTGGAGCTTAGCGCATGAGTGATTGTCTGTCGTTGTCATCATTCATGTCAGCTTTTTCGCTCCGCTGTTGACTTTGGCAAGCGAAGCTTACATGAGTGATTGTCTGTCATCGCCAGTGTCAACTTTTTACATTTTCAACTGCTTCTTGAAAACTACAATTCTTATTGCTTGATACTTGGTGTATATGTACCTTGGGCAGACCTCTCTTAGATTGTTCATTTCGTGATGATATCTATAATTCTCTAATTTTGATGAATATTTTTGTCATTTTGGTAAAACGTGGTATTTTCGACTTCTTGTTAAAAACCGCAAGTCTGATTGCTTTGATACTATACATATAGGTACCTCAGGTAGACTTCACTCAGATTTGTTCAGTTTGTGATGATATCTTCAATTCTCTAATTTTGATGAATATTTTAGTCATTTTTTTTAAAAAGTGATATTTTCATTCTTGTTGAAATCCGCTAGTCCGATTGTTTTGATACTATACATATTGTTCATTTTTTAATCTTCAGTTCTTTAATTTAACTGTGCATTGCTAACAGCGAAGCTATCTCAGCCGACAGACTGCTTGTTACTTTTACATCTTCTTGAAAACATTTTACAAAGTGAATGCAACGTTAAACTAATTATAGTCAAAAAGAATACTGTAATGTAAACAAGTTCACTGCATCACGCTCTTACTCGCCTTGTATAATTACAGTGTGTTTTGTTTTAATTTCTTCAGAGGCTTTAAACCCATTACAAGTAATTGTAATAGATTATGACACTGACAGTATAACTATACTATGGGGAGAAACCACCCAGACTGGTGCCGCTGCATATCTCATCGATTTGACACCGAGTGACGGTTCCGCATATCCATCGGCTGTGACGATTGATGACGAGAATAGATACGACTTCACAGGTTTGATTGCTGGTAGAGAATACACTATTGAAATCACAGTCTCTGGTTTTAATGAAAAAACTATGATTGTACAAAGAACAGGTAATTAATATTGATGCTGATAACTGCCATTGAAAAAAGATTTTGTATTACATTTGGTTGTTTTTTACAGTGAAAACTCACCTAGATGACTTGTCCAGTGTGCACTGAGTACAAAGCAGGCACAAATTTTGTTATCTCTCATTATTAAAATTTATACATACTACAAGCATGTATAATAATAATTGCTATGAGAATACTGAAAAGTATGTACTTAGGTGGTGAGGGATTGCATCAACCTTCACTGCATGCGCAGAATTGAGTCCCAAGGAACGATAACAACACATGCAAAGACTCATGGGTAGATGCTTGTTTGTAAACAATGACGCGCAATGGCCATCTGACATATGCGCAGGTGACGACTCCCTCGCTTTAATTTTATCTCCACCGCTTTGTTCATACTCATATTCTCATTATAGACTTCTTATTTATTAAATTTTATAGCGATTTATCATTAAAATATGCTTTTTTGTTGTTATAATATCAGTTCCCCATCCACCACGCAACCTAAGATCAATATCAGAGACTGAGACCACTGTGACTATTGCCTGGAATGCCCCAATAAATGGATTTGTTGATACATACATCCTAACTTATGAACCTGCCGATGGGAAAACAGCATCGCCAATTACTGTAGAGCAGGACACCCTACAGCTGGTTATTGAGGGGCTAACACCGAGTTCGCAATATGATATCACATTGATTGGTGTGGCTGGTACTGGGAGTGATAAAACAGAGAGTGCCAAGATAATGGCGTCAGTTAACACAAGTAAGTTGGTGGAAACTGCTTATTACTGTAAAACATGTCTTTTTCGTGAGCATGTTATTTTACAAGTAGCGAATTTAGCGAGAGTCGTGATTCGCTAATTCAATATGTTGATAATGACTTTATTATAAATTCAAAATGGCCACCAAACAACGTCTTTTTTTTTTCTCCACACACACTTTGTAAAGAACACAAAAAAAACATACTGACATGATAGAGACACTTTATTGGAAAGTAAATTAACACAAAAAAAATAAACGTATTCATTGTGGTCATTATTTCAATGAAAATAAATACATGAAGTGATACTGATATATTATTACGGAAATTAGTAGTACTTAGTAATTTTTGAGTTCCAATGTAAAAGTTCAATTTTCTGGATGTAACGCAGCAACGATACCCGCTTTTTCAAATCCCTGTTGAATCAGTTTTTTATTATTACGAACAGAATTAAATTACACTTGACAGTTTTTCTTTTTTACGGAGGTGATAAATGCGCATTTGTTTTGATGCCTGACAGAGAAGTATTGTGAAAACAAGCAATAACAAGCAAGATTCGCTAAATCAACATTTCACTATTACGCCATTTTACCACAATTCGCTAAAATTGCATGCCACTTTTTCAACATGTTTTACAGTAATTTAACAATATTGGGACGCACATTGTCCAGCACCTCCCCTTTAGATTGGTGTACAAAGTACACTTCTGTATCTAATGTCCAATCTGTTACCATTTGTTTCACAGGTGCAGCATCACCAGCCCAAGTCATTATCAAGACAGTCACAACTACGAAGTATTGAGATAACCTGGGGTTCAGTACCTTCTGGTGTTAACTTTGATGGCTATGTTATCAGACATGAACCTCCAGATGGCTCTCCAGGCACAGCTATCATTGCTGTTGATGGCACTCGCAGAGTTACATTTACAGATCTGGTACCTGGAAAGTTGTACACTATCTATATCAATACGCAAGGATTTGACTTGGAAAATTCAGCTCAACAAAGAACAAGTAAGTTTTTGTGTACGCATAAATAGATACTGTTAATTGGTCTACATACCGGTACAAAATATTATGATCAGAATGACTTTTGCTGAATATTAATAGATTTTTCGAAAATTATTTCTGAACCTCCACTTTGTCTCTCTGGGTCTTAATGTGTCTGTGTCAATTGCTAAATTATGAATGCAACTAATTTACATTTACATGCTTTACCTCCATGTTCATGTCCATGTCTCCATGTGTCCCAGAGTCTTTTTTTTTGTAATGAATTGGTATACACTACATTGTATGATTGATTTGTTTTTGAACCAACAAATATCATTGCTGCCTCCTGAGTTAATGGCAGCATTATTGTGTTAAGTCTGTTGAAAAAGTGTGCACAGATGGTATCATCTTCGGAAATTCCTTTATTAATAGATTTTTTGGTTTACATTTTTTCAACATCCATGCCAATGATACACGTTACAAATGTGCCACGCCCACTTCACATTGGCTCGCCCTGTTTAATTTTCAAACCGTGGACAACCCTGGCATTTCATTTTTGTTGGTGTTATAAGAATGTACTACTATTTTGTTGTAGTAGTGAATTAAGTCATAGTCTGATAAAAAAAATTTTTCTTGACAGAACCAAATGCTCCAGGTGACATAATGTTCACAGACATGACACCAACCTCAATATCTTTCATGTGGGAGGCAGCGTTGGGTGACTTTGATTACTATGAAATCAGTTACAGTTTAGTCAATGGGGTTATGATGGTTGCTGGCAATGTAGATGAAAACACTTTGTCATATACACTTGAGAATCTCAATACAGACACTGAGTATACTGTGAGTGTAGTCACTGTTATTGGTTCCGGAGATGACAAGGAAATGAGTGAAGTCTCTATGGCAAATAATGTAACAGGTAAGGGTTGGTTAAAATGCACATTAAATTCTTGAGGAATAGTTTGCCAAGCATTCTGCACAAGGGATCTGAGAACTACACAGCTCTATTAACCATGAATAGGCAATATTTTATAACATTAATTTTTACCACCAGTTCCCTCTTTTCATCACAAATTAGTCCTGTTTAAAGTTTGCACTTTCCTTCAGAAAATTAAGACAAAAATTGTCAAATTTTTGGAGTTAAACCTGAACTTAGGGTTCATTCCAGGAAATATTAAGAATCCTCGGGGGCGGACATCCGGGCATTTTCTACCGCCTGGCAACCCTCGCGGTGAAAACAAAGACCAAAAACTCGCAGAAAACGGTACTTTGCGATGGTTGTTGAGATTCCCCTGAACAGTGTAACAAGATTAGTCCTACGTGTGTAACATATATGAATTTGGTTATTTAGAATCACTTCAAAGTTGAGTTTGTGTTGTTTTCTCGAGTTTTCACCGGCTCCACCGGCGTTCCACAGCAGCGCGCACAAAGCCCATAGAAATACGTGGTACAGTGGTGCGCGTCTTAGCAACGTAGAACGTTCGTGACGTAGCTCCGCCCTCGAGGATATAAGAAAAAGTGCAGGAAAATTTGGGCAAGAAACTCTGGTGGTGAAGAGGATAAAAAAAAATAGGGTGTGTAAAAAAAACATCATACAATAGTACCATAATGATTCTAATCATTATAGAGGGTGTACTTCTTCATGATTTGACGACTGTATCTTCATTAGTTTAAAACTTGTCAGAGTTTCCAACACTTAGGAAGACTTTTAAATACTGTAGAATACTTTATTTTAGTTGGAATTGATTTTCACTGATTTTTGATGAGTTGAATGTAAAATATAGGGAAAAAGGTATATTTGCTGGATTTTATTTTCACTGAATCATTTCTTCAGCGAAAATAGCAAAAATTAATTTCAAGCAAAAATAAAGTATTTTACAATATTCCTTTGTCAAAAATTGTTAATTGTATCCATCCATTGCATTAATGTTGAATTACCAGAAACCGTTTTTTGTTGAGCTGAACTGATAAATTGTTTTATGCAATAAATAATAACTGTCAGAAATATTTTTTATTTTGTAATATTTGTAGATGCAATACAACCTGATGTCATCCTGGTTTTGGATGTTACAACTACATCAATCACTATAGAATGGGGAGAGACGGAAATTCCTGGCGCTACTAACTATGCAGCATTGGCAACCCCTGTATTAGGTGGAAACACTGCAACACATGTTGTGGGCATTGAAGATAGTAATCAACACACTTTCACAGGGTTATTAGTTGGTACTCAGTACAGAATAAAACTACAAATTGTAGTCACTGATAGTGATGATAGTGAAACCACAATCAATCAATTTACCCGTAAGTATAATTACATTGAAAGCCACGATGGCTTTTGTTCGCATTAAATTTAAATATTAATATGGTATTTGTAACATTTAAAGCATAAGTTGTGATCATTTATCGCTCTTGCTCCTAAGACGAGTAACCTTTTCATTGCCAAATTCAAATTAAGGCATCATCATCATCATCATAGTTCCATTTATAGTCTGTTTTTTTCACAGAATATGATGATGAAATTTTCAAATTTTTGGATCAAAAATTAAAAACAATGTTATATTTTGTATATTTGGTTCAAAATTTAGATTGAATTCAGTGAATTACAGAAAAATTTGGTGCTCAAAAGGTTAAAATAACAAAACCTATTTGAATTTTATGCTTTAACTTTCATATATGAGAAATTTTTAAATATGAATGAAAATATAGATATAGAAAATCTTATTGCAGTTATTATGGATTTTTTAAGACAAATCCTTGTATAGAAATTAGTTAGACTAGTTCATATTTTAATAAATTTACTGTTATGATGATATTCAACATATTACAAGTATTCTGTGCTACACTGTTCATGTTTTTTAAGACAAACTCAAAACCCTTGTATAGAAATTTTAAAGAAAGTTGAAAATTTAATAAATTTACTGTTTTGATATTCAACATAATAAAAATATTCTGTGCTACACTGATCATGTTTTGTGTATGTCAGATGCCTATGTCAGATGAACTGAATGAATTCTTTTTACAATTAAAGGTCCCAATGCACCAGGTAGTATCACAGTTGGTACAGTGACACCCAATGAATTACCAGTTACTTGGATTGCTGCTGCCGGTGACTATGATTTCATATACGAACTCAGCTATGCTGCAAACGGTGGTGTACAAACAATCGTTGACACTGTTGATAAGTCGGTTACGTCCTATGTAATCGACGGTTTGCAACCCGATACATCTTATGACGTCACCGTAATTGCTAAAGTTGGTACTGGGGATGAAGCAATGTTGAGTGATTCTAGCGTTGTTACTGCTTCAACAGGTGAGCTACCAATAGATTAATTTCAAATTATATTAACCCAAAACACTAAAATCAACTTTCGTCATCTTGCCCCCAAATTTTTTTTTTAATTTTGATCAAAACTTGTAGCCAATTGGAATATGTCTTATTTTTTCAAAATTGAGCTGGAATACCCCCAAGTCAATATTTTTATAGTGCCTTGAAGTGCAATTTATTGGAAAATGAATAAATTCTGGATATTTGGATTCATGAATAGCCCTCTACCATAAGGCTAGCTTATCTTGCTCTCAAAAACTAAAAAACAAAAATTAAAAATATTGAAAATAATGATGCATACTTTTAAAAAAATTGTATGAAAAGGAAAAGCGAACTTAAATCTTTGAATGCAGAATTTTTTTCCTGCTTAAATTTGGGAAAATTTATTTACAATTTGGTAATTTTCTCTGAATTCAGTCTTAATTTTGGACCAGACAGACTAAATATGGCATTGCTTCTTGTTTGTGATCATAAAATTTGAAAATTTTCATCAACATTTTATGTCGAAAAGAGCAGACTACTCCAAAATGACTAATTTTCACTGGGTTTAAATTTCGCTGATTTACCATTTTGGGCATATTCAGTGGGTTTTAAATTCACGGTTTTATCATTTAGATAATGTGTCCTATGCTAAATATTACATATTCACTGGGTTTTAATTTAGCGCATTTTCCAGTCAGTGAAATAAGCAAAATTAAAACCCAGTGAATAATTAACTCCCTTACAGCATCATTCAATTTTGTCCATGGTGACAGAAGTTGGCTTTGGCGCTTATTAAAATAGGGGTTAAAACAGGATGGAATGACATCACACTTGAGCTGTACTGTACTAGTCCTTTGATTTGATTTGATTTAATTTTATTTTCATCATTATGAAATCTATATCTATTATGTATTAATTTTATTTGCATCATATTCAAATGTTGATTTCACATTCTTGATATTGCAGCTGTTATCCTACCTGGTCAGATTATTGTGACGTCTGTCTCATTTGACGCTATCGATATTATATGGGGTGGATCAAACACTGCTAATGGTTATTTCCTGAGCTTAGATCCACCAGATGATGAGAATACATACCCAGCCTTCTTACTCAACACAGGTACACAATATAGTTTCAGCGGATTAGTCCCTGGTAAATTGTATACCATAACCATCACCTACTCCAATACAGAGTTGGATGATGCAGTGGCACAAATCAGAACAGGTAAGTTGTTTGTCGTGATCTCCAGGATGCTGTGAATTTCTGTACAATGATGAATTTCAGTAAACTGTATCCATGATATAAGTTTTGACAGAAATAATTGATTACTATAGAATACTTTATTTTCGCTCGGAAATAATTTTCACTATTTTCGCTGAAGGAATGATTCAGTGAAAATAAAATCCAGGGAATATACCTTTTTTCCTATATTTTACATTCAATTTGTCAAAAATCAGTAAAAATAAATTCCATACAAATCACTAAAACAGCGAAAATTAAATCCAGCTAGAATAAAGTATATTACAGTATTGCAGTCAATGGTAATCAATATCATCTGTAATGCATGGAATGAAATGGTATGATTATTAGAGTACTGCAAAGTTTTTATAACCCAGTGAAAAAGACTATCAATTAATGTTGCCAATTTGTGTGAATATTATCGTGATATGATAAATTCTTAACTATGTATCCATTTCATCTCCTTACAGTTCCCAAACCACCTGGTATGATAACCGTGGTAGACAGCCAGCCAACTGAAATCTCTTTTAGTTGGTTGCCAGCTGAGGGTGATTTTTCAAACTACCAGATATCCTACACTCCGGATGGTGGGCTCAAAGTGTCTGAAGCCACAGTGGAAACTAGTGTCACGTCATACACAATTAGAGAATTAAATCCAAGTACTATGTATACACTAGAGATTGTAACATCCGTGGGAACTGGAACAGGTCTGACGACGAGCGCTCCAAGCACAGCAGATGTAACCACGAGTAAGTATAAAATACAGAGAGCTCGAGCCTGCAGGAGTTGGGGGTGGTGGTGTAGTGATTGGACCGAGATATAGTCTGTGTAATACTGAAAACAATTATGGTAGGTTGCAATAGGCAAGAGTTGGCAATATGTAGTATTTAGTGTCATGTGATATTTCGGTCAGAGTAGGTCATCAAATCCACCATTTTGTTCATTTCTGCTCATAAAATAGTTTTCTTGATATATGCACCATGAGTTGGTAGGTGAATCCTGGCAAAAGTGTAGTCGCTTAGTACTAATGTGGGCGTACGTACATGAGCTGGTCATGTGATAGAATTTTGTTCAATCCTTACAAGTCTTGACTTAGTCAAGCAAAATATATCTCACACAACCAAAACCTGTACCATTATGTGCATTTGGCAAATCACTATTTACTCTGAAAACTTTTTTTATTTTTGTTGCTTAATTAAATTGTCTTATCTTTCAGCGTCAATACCCGAGGGGAAAATTGAAGTTCGTACAGTGACAACTACAAGTATTCGTATTCTGTGGGGTGTTACATCGCAACAAAACTATGGTTATTTATTGGACTTGAATCCTAGAGATGGTGGAACATATCCTCTGGTTGAGTCTGACTCTAGTGAATACACATTCCTGAATTTGATTCCTGGAAGAGAGTATACAATAAAGCTAACCGTGAATGGTTTACAAGATGTTGGTGATGAGATCACACAAGCTACCAGTAAGTGATAATATTGATCCAAAAAATTACGCACATTTTATTACGGCCCATCAGAATTTACGATATAAAAATTATTAGTCTCTGGAAAACAGTCAAATTCAAGATCTTCATCATTTTTGTTGTTGAATGTGTTCGATCATACACAAACTCTCAGTATGTCACTTTTTGTGTCGTGTTTTTGCACAATTTGGCCTGCAACAACAAATCTTTTGAACAAATCTGTTATCAACCAATCCGAATGCCGTGTTGTACCAGTGTAACTTTCTAGGATAGGAAGGGAATTACCGATGTTTAAGTAAAATGTGTTGGAATTGATTTTAGTGAAAATACAGCATGTATTTTTAAAAACAAAATGTTGATTAGCACATTTTGTATAGAAAAAATGAATGTCAAATCAATCAAATCTTAGGCATTCACAAAGGAATGGGTGTTCTGTTAACATTGTGGTATTATATTATTATTATAAATAATGCCATACCGGTAACCTTGGTAGTCAATCTTTACAATTTTCAAGTCCGAAACCAGAAGATGTTCCAATCACTGATTAATGGCACATTTTCTTTATTTCTAATCCATATTTTATTTTGCTCAGTTATTACCATCATTAAAAAAATTTTATTTATCTAATCTCTCAAATTTGCAAATTTAATAAATATATTCATATTAATCTTTTCCTTTCAGAGCCCAATGCGCCTGTTGGTTTCAGTGTTGACAGCTACACTCCGACCACCATTACTGTACAATGGAGCACCCCTAATGGGGAAGTGTCTGCTTATATATTGTCTTACACTGATCCAGATGGTCAGCTTAATACAGCTGGCACTATGCCAAGTACCACAACAAGCTACGAGTTCCAGGCACTGCAACCAGCGACTGAATACACATTCACTATCAAATCTAAAGTCAC